TAGACCCTTGTAATCCGGCTCTTCCCCGAATTCGTGCATAGTAGTAGTTTAATGCACCGGACTGCCTTTTTAGTTGGTATGTTGTTATCAAAACGAAACAAAATTATTAAACCAGAGGATTAAGACAGACAATATGTTGTGTAGATGAATCTTCTTCACTTGTTATGTTCCCTAAGATGAACATATTATATAACTTTGTTTATTCAGTACTCCACGGACAACTCAGCATCACACGTCCAAATATTGACTAGTAAATCAATATTATGAAAACATGTCATGTATCAATTTTAGAATCTAAGATTGCACATGATTTGTTGGATCATCAACCGATCTGCACATGTGGTAGGATCAAGTTGTTGCCTTTTATTATAATGATATGACTATTTATTGGACTATATAACTATGTCAATCGATAACACATTGTCATTCACATACATTTCCATCTCTAAATTCCAATTGCTTCTAAGTTTCTACCATTCTTTTCTACTTCCATTTCTCCTTTACACAACATGTCAACCTCAGACACTAGTTATGACGAATTCAGTGATGTTGAATTCTCAAAAGTCGATATTGATATTCTCATGTCATTTCTCGAAGAATCAGAGATTGAAGAAAGCAATGAAGAACAGATCAGAAGTGTGATCGAGTCTTTGGAAGCAGAGATTTCTCCTGTCCTGATCAGTGATTTTAATTCGTTAAAGCATGTAGAACCCGATTGTCACGAATCGAAGGATTTCCAATTGTGTGATATTGCTAGTGAAGAGGAGAGTTGTTCAACATCATTTGATTTTGAATTTGAATGGACTGATTCAGAGATGGAATTTATAGACACGAGAGATTTTTCTCAAATGTATGATAGAGTTATGTTAATGGAGGACCATGGTCAACACACTTCCTTTTGGGAAGAAACATGTGAATCTATGCTTTATGAATAGTGTTACAAATCATATTTATGTAATGGTGTAGCAAAGCCACACTTCTTGTAAATTCTCATTTTTTGATATATAATACATGAGACGAGGGTCTAACGGACACAGCGTTATAAATCTTCAACGCTTTATATTTTTTGTTAGCTATATGTTGAGTTAAAAAAATAACTTTTGGATCATGAACACAAAACTGAATGATCACTCAAGAAATTTACTCATGTAGTAGGATCAAATTGTTGCTATATTTCCGTACGAATTTAAGTTATATACACCTGTCATTGAAAAGAAAGATGTATTAAACTTAAAACTTTTTGCGTATATGTAGGCTGATATGCATTGACAGAAAACATTGTCATAATTCCATTTCTCATTCTCTCTAAATATTCATTGCAGCTAATACTCTTCCATTTTTTTTCTTTTTTTACTTCCATTTTTCTTCTGTATATTGTAGCAAAGCTACCTCGGATGTTAAATTTCAATTACAAAAATTGTGAATCATGTCCAACGAATTTTGATACTATAAGTACAATTTCACCTCTTATAGCATATTATTACCCTACTTTCCAAATTACGTACGTATCAAATTTGTTATGAAGAGTCACATGTTATTATTTGTTAATTTAACCTTAACAGTGTAAAACAATTATATGTTCTTGTTAGCAAACAAAGCTTTTAAACTCGTACTTATTCCAAGCATAGGTTACAACAATAACATACCCAATATTATCCAACACCGTGGGAGTCTGAAGAGGGTAGTGTATATGCAGTAGGGGTGAACGTTCGGTATTTCGGTACGGTATTTGAAAATTTCGGTTCGGTATTTCGGTATATCAATTGTGAATACCAAATATCGTACCAAAATAATTTGGTACGATTCGGTATTTTCTTGTTTGGTTCGGTACGATTTCGGTACGGTTCGATATCGTACCATATCTTTGTTAACTAAACAGTGCTAAGCTAATTCATTAAAAATTTCTAATTACGTGATAATGAGTATAACAACAACAAAATGTGAGCAGTACCTTCACTTCTTCTAATAATTTCTAATAGAAATCAATAAAAATCAATACATGAGCATAACAGTAGAATGTGAGTAGTTTCTTAATTTCTTTACTTCTAATAATTTATACTAGAAATCACATCATTAGAAAATTTCTAATAAAGTGATAAATGAGCATAACAGCAACAGATGTGAGAAGTTCCTTTACTTTTCTAATAATTTCTAATGTTAGGTTGGGGAGTTGGGCTTAGTCTCGGTGGGTTACAGGCTAAGGGTAAGAACTAACAAGTTACAAATGTTGGGCTGAAAATTGATAACTTGGGCTGGCAGTGAAGGAAGGTGTACTTAAATAATTCGGTATTTCGGTATACCGAAATATCCAAACTTCAATACCGAGGCCCGTACCAAAATACCGAAAAATCGAAAATCTTATACCGAAGTAGGACCGAAATACCGAATAAACCGATACCGAAATACCGAATAAACCGATACCGAAATACCGAATTAATTCGGTCCGATTCGGAATTTGATTTTTCGGATTTTATGCCCACCCTTAATACGCAGACCTTACCCGTACCTTGTGAGGATAGAGAGGTTGTTTCCAATAGACCCTCGGCTCAGGATAGTATAAGTATCACATTAATGAAAATATAGGCAAGAAGGGACAGTACCAAAAAGCTATATAAAAGCAGAATAAAATAACAAGACAGTAAGGTGATCAATAATGAAAGAAAACAACGGTTAGTCATAAAAACCTACTACCAACAGAAAGCGAGACAGTGTGCCAATACTATTATTATGAACACTCTACACTACCTACTCTACTACCCTAATCCTCGACCTCCATACCTTGCTATCAAGGGTCATGTCCTCGGTCAGTTGAAGTTGTGCCATGTCTTGCCTAATAACCTCTCCCCACCTCTTATTTGGCCTATCTCTACCTCTCCGTAAACCCTCCAATGTCAACCTCTCACACCTGCTTACCGGGGAGTCTGTACTCCTCCTCCTCACATGACCAAACCACCTAAGCCGCGCTTCCCGCATCTTGTCCTCAATAGAGGTCACATCCACCTTATCGCGAATAACCTCATTTCTGATCCTATCTAACCTGGTGTGACTGCACATCCATCTCAACATACCCATATCTGCTACCTTCATCTTCTGGACATGAGCAATGTTGACCGGCCAACAATCAGCCCCATACAATATCGTTGGCCTGACCACCACTCTGTAGAACTTACCCTTAAGTATCGGTGGCACCTTCTTGTCATACAAAACACCGGAAGCGAGTCTCCATTTCATCCATCCCTCCCCAATACGATGTGCGACATCTTCATCAATCTCCCCATCCCCCTGAATAATAGACCCGAGGTACTTAAAACTCCCTCTCCTAAGGATGACCTGCGAGTCCAGCCTCACATCTCCTTCCCCTCTTAGAGTCCCACCACTGAACTTACACTCCAAGTATTCTGTTTTGGTCATATTCAACTTGAAACCTTTAGATTCCAGGGTCTGCCTCCATATCTCTAATTGCGCGTTCACACCGTCTCGCGTCTCGTCAATCAATACAATATCATCTGCAAATAGCATGCACCACGGCACCTCCCATTGCCTCCAAGAACGGGTTGAGTGCCGACCCCTGATGCAACTCCATCATAACCGAAAAATGGTCCATGTCCTTAATCAATCTAACGTAGGCAACAGGTACACTTCTAACCTCCAAACATCTGCACAAAACCTTTCTCGGAACTTTATCGTATGCCTTTTCTAAGTCGATGAACGCCATTTGCAAGTCCTTCTTTCTCTCCCTATACTGTTCCATCAATCTCCTAACAAGGTGGATGTCTTCTGTAGTCGAACGCCCCGGCACAAACCCAAATTGATTCTCGGAAATAGTCACACTCCTTCTCACCCTTAGCTCTATCACTCTCTCATAGACTTTCATAGTATAGCTACGCAGCTTGATACCCCGATAATTATTGCAATTTTGGATATCACCCTTGTTCTTGTATACAGGAACCATCGTGCTCCACCTCCACTCTTCGGGCATCTTATTCGTTCTAAAAATGACATTAAATAACCTAGTGAGCCACTCCAAGCCTGTCTTGCCCACCCTCTTCCAAAATTCCACAGGGATTTCATCTGGCCCGGTCGCTTTGCCCCTGCTCATCTTACACATAGCCCCCTCAACTTCATAACTCTAATCCGCCTACAATACCCTAAGTCACAACAACTCCCGGAGAGTTCCAAATCACCTAGTACAATGCTCTTGTCCCCTCCTCGTTCAAGAGACTATGGAAGTAGGTCTGCCATCTCCGACAGATGAGCCCTTCATCCAACCAAACTCTACCTTCTTCGTTCTTGATGCACTTCACTTGGTCCAACTCACGCGCCTTCCTTTCTCGCGCCTTGACTAACCTCAATAACCTCCGAGCATAGGTTGATAACTGCAAAAAAGAAGATAAGATTTCTTTATCAATATATATTGAAATTCGGTAAAAAATTACTTGCACATGACGTTTATACCAATTTAGCAAATGCATGACATTTTGTCTTTTTTACACACTTTTACAATTTTTTTTTGGTAACTAAATTTTTTGTATTAAACACCAAAGTAAGATATGTACAAGAACCATAACACGGCTGCAACATGTTATCTCATTATAAAAAATCAACCCAAACACTGAGCTAAATTTAGAATTTAAGGGCCCGTTTGGCCATAAGAAAAGATTCTTTTTTCCTAAAATATTTTTCACTTTTTTTCGAAATCATGATTGGCCATGAAAATTTCAAATTTCAAATTTCACTTGAAATTGAATTTCGTATTTTTTTGGAATTTGAAAAACTCCAAAAAAACTATTTTTAAAAATTTTCACTTCAAAGCTTTCCCATAAATTCAAAAACAGCTCAAAATTGTATTCATATCCGAAATTTCACAACTCTTATTTCTAAACCCCTATTAAATATGTGGACAACATTTTGTATTCTAGGGGGTGCTCCAGCATTAAAGACTATTGCAATCTCTATTGTTAAGTGATATGTATTGTCATTTTAAATTTTAACATTAAAGATTATTGCAATCTCCTGCATCCGATGTTGATATGTATTTACCATCAAAGCTTAAGATTTCTTACTTTGGTATTGCAATTATAAGCAGCGCTCCAATTGTTTAAGTATCCTGCGTGCCCCCTTATAATTCTTCTCTAGAAAAACCAAACATGCAAAATCTCATAAACCCATATAAAACAATGTTTTTAGTTCGTTTTGTCTCTTACAGACCCATTATCCACAGATTAATCTTTCAATCTCCACTCTGTTTTTCTCCTTCACGTCCATTTTCATCATCTCAAATACAAAATTCTGATGAAATCAACCTTGTTAACTACAAAGATTGGTTAAGCCCAAATGAGGTCATCAAAATTTTCCAAAATCTCAAAAACCCAAATTCAGCTTTGACAGTACTTAATCAAATCTCAAAACGTAAAGATTACAAACCCAATGAAGCCATTTATAATGTAGTTGTCAAAAACCTAGCAATTGCTAAGAATTTTGATGCAATTGAGACACTTATGGAGAAAATCAAATTTGAAAGAAAGTGTAGACTTTCTGATGAGTTTTTCTATAATGTTATTAAGATTTATGGGCATTTAGCTGGTAGAATTAATAGAGCAATTGAGACCCTTTTCGATATGCCTAATTATAAGTGCTGGCCAAGTGTGAAAACTTTCAATTTTGTACTGAATTTGTTAGTGAATACTAAACAATTTGATGTTGTTCATAAGGTGTATATTCGTGCTTCTGATTTGGGTGTGGAGATTGATGCTTGTTGTTTGAATATTATCGTTAAGGGGTTGTGTCATTGCGGGGAGCTCGATGCTGCATATAAGGTGTTCGATGAATTTCCTAAGCAGAAATGTCAACCCAATGTGAGGACTTTTTCGACTATAATGCATGCTTTGTGCGAGCGTGGTCGTGTTAATGAGGCGTTGGGATTGTTAGAGAGGATGGAAAAGGAGGATGTTGAACCAGATGCTATCGTGTTTAACACGCTGATTTCGGGGCTCAGAAAGCAAGGAAGAGCTGACGAGGGGATTGAGATGTTCAAGAAAGTAATGCTGAAAGGTTGTGATCCGAATCCAGGGACATATCAAGAGGTGTTGTACGCTTTGCTTGATGCCAAGAGGTATTTGGAGGCAAAAGATTTTATGGCTGTTATGATTGATAAGAGGGTGAATCCAAGTTTTGAGTCTTATAAGCTGTTGATACATGGCCTTTGTAATGGGAAGCTTCTTGCCGATTTAGACTGGGTGTTGAGGCAGATGGTGAGACACGGATTTGTGCCGAGGATGGGTATGTGGAGGCACATTCTTGGTTGCTTGTTTCCTCCTGATGGCGATTGTTGTACTGCCTATTCAGATGAAGAAATTCTTGCGGACTAATCTACGAGGTTTAGAAAATTAACTGAATGGTATTACAAGTCCCATTACATGCTGTTAGAAGTATCACATTGATTGCAGGATGGGAATTTAGTCTTCTTATATAGCTTTTGGCAATCCTTATCTCATGAGCTAGTTTTTGGGGTTGGATTAGAATTTATGTCTATTTCTGTACATGGTATCAGACCCATGCTCCAGTTGGCATGGTCTGGGCGTGCCGCAAAGGGGTGGGGTGGGGGGTGGGGGTGGTATTAGAAGTCCCACATTAGCTGTGAGATAGGAATTTGGTCTCCTTATGTTTGTTTTGGGCAACTCTTACCTCATGAGATAGTTTTTGGAATTGATAGATCCAATATCCATTTCTTATCACTCCTACAGCTTCTGAATTCAAAATTTTCATTCCAAGTGAAAGGACAAGATGATGCACTACCACCATGGTCGTCACCACCACCACCATAATCACCACTATCACCACCATAAGCTGCCTCCTGGCTATGAAACTTTTCAAGGATTTTCCAACTATATATCCTCTTCCACTGGCTTTAGGGTTCCTTCAGCTTGGCAATGCGAAACCTTCGACTGAATATGAAGCAGTGTCAGGTATTCCTCCAACTCGTCGCTCTGAGAAACATCATGCTAATAATTTCTTTAACTTGATCGTGATAACTAGCACAATGAAAATTCAAATTCGCATCGCAATATCGCATAGGCTCATTATTTAAAATAACAATACAATATAGTATATTGGTAACAACTATCTAAACAAATTCTAAAAGATGAATCTCTCCTTACTAGGGGTTTCTCCATTTCTAGGGTTCGAACTCGAGATATCTAGTTAAGGTTAGAGGGATCTCATTCATCGCACCACATCCCGTTGTGGTCATTACTCCTCATGTTGAATTTGAGCGAACATCGGAAGAGACTCTTTAATTTATTTATTCAATTCTTACATGCTGCATGGATTTTTCTTGGACTTGTTTTGGATGTTCACAACAGTTTTTATCGTCTTTTGACAAGTGAAGTTAGGGTTTTGTCCACAAGAGTTGGTGGGATGTTTGATATCTCTCTTTTCACATAAGATTTGGTGATTCCAAGATTCTTTTTACTTTTGATCACACTGAGCACTACATGTTCAGAATATAACAAGTCTGGTCTTTTCTCCTTCACTATTGTGGCTGCTTCTCTTGATCGATTCATCTTTGTGAACACAGGTTGATTATATTTTGGCATCCCTTGGTGAAAATTCTGGTCCCGACACTGCGAATTGATGGTGAGATTTGAACTGATCATCATCTCCAGCTGCTTTGATCCGCTTCATCTAAAAACTTAAACTCTTGGAAAAGAGACACCTATATTCATTTGAGTATATATTAATTACATCGATCTCACAATGAACAATAGTAATACTGTTTGGAAGTTGAAACACTAAATTGTCTGACTATAATTTTTGAACTATTTTTCCATAAGAATTATTTTTAATTTTTATTACTTTCTATTAATTTATGATTCCTATTTATTTTTTCTTTCCAAAATTAAGAAATCATGCTAGAAGAAACAATTAGATGGATCCACCCTATACATACTCCGAAGGATCATGCCATTTGGGTTGGGATGGGCATAGTTTGGGCAAATCCGAAATCCAAACCAACATCCGAAGCTTTGAATTTTTGGTTTGGATTTTCGGATTACGGATTGAATTTCGGATTTAATTTTTAAAAATTTTGAATTTTGGATTGGATATTGGATTTGGTACTTCGAATTTTTGGATATCCGAAAATCCGAAATTTTTATACTTTATATTTAGTTGTGATAAGTTCAATACCCTACCTATTAGATATTATCTCATATATTCAGTATTAATAGTTATCGTCAGAATACTTTCTATTTGGACATGATTTTACTATTGCTACTTCTTATCGGTCATATGTCTCTATTGTATTTCCTTGATAATAATTTCATTACTTGAATACTTTATTTGGATAATTACGGTAAGCATGAGGAACTTTTCAGACAATTTAACATGAGTACTTCATTTGGATATTCATTTTTATAAAAAGAAGAAACATCTCAATTTATAAGCTCAAAACCGAAAATTCAAAATATCCAAACCGATTAATCCGAAATCGAACTTAAAAAATCTGATCCAGTCCGAGCTTATTTGGATTGTTATTTTTTCAATCCGAAAATCAAAAACTCAAACTAAAATTTTCATATCCAATCCGAACTTCCCGAACGTCCACCCATAGATATATGAAGTATCGCCTTAATTCCGAGTCCTGTTGTAAATATTATTCTACTTATGTTTGATCTTATTATTATAGTAAGAAAATCAAGAAAGTATGACACCTAACTTACATCCTGGAGTTAATATATAGTTCTTGTAGTATATGACGCGTTGTTCCATTCCATTCTCTTTTAACTTGCGCTTAATCAAGAACATGCGACACGTCACCGTTCTCTTTTAAGCGTTATACATACTTGAAGTTATCATATAGTTCAAATAAATAAGATAAATACTTTGGGAAGCAAATCATAAAAAAGAATGTAAATTGAAAAATTTAAGAGGATACGTTAAGACTGCAACATAAACTCTCTAAACCAATAAGATAAAAAGAAAATAAAAACCATGTGTCTCAAGAATCAAGAAACAAAAAAGAAGAGTTGGGGCGAGGATTAGAAACTAGCGAAAGAAAAAAGGGAAAAAGTCCGGATTCACCCATGTACTGTAGTATATAATTTATATTTATCCTTCGTTATATTTTTAGTTTAAATCCACCCTTACCGTTAATAAATTGTGCAAAATTGCCCTCAGCCCACACGTTTTTACTGTGGCATCAGACCCTCAATTAAATTGCCACGTAGATAGCCAAGTCAGCACCTATTTTTAGAATGTCTTTTATAATAAAATGCTGGTCTCCCTCAATCATACATCGGTTTTCACTCTCCTGCACCCAATCCTCACACAAAACCAATAAGATAAAAAAGAGAAAAAGAAATCCTGTTCGTCGAGTTTGACTAATAAAACTTGTAGTCCAAATAATTGACAAAAAACACTCCAAAGACTAATGACAGTATATTTGCATCCAATGAATTTGATACCACAAAGTCAACAGAGACTTGTTGATTGTATGCTCAAACCAAATTGGCCGGCATTCCCCAATAGTCCAATACAACTTCAAATTGACAATCTTAACCAAAAAACCATAGAATAACGACAGTATATATTACTAGTATCAAATGAATATGATCATTGCTTTGCCTCATCAATTCTTGTTTATTAGCTATGGGCAGAAGTTGCAATCTTCTCTTTGGTCTTGCTGTTTTCATTCTGCTTCATTACCATACTTCACTGGCTATTGTTCCCAATATTAGCACTGATAAAGATGCACTTCTTGCCTTAAAATCTCACATTTCTTCTTCTGATCCTAATGATATCATAGCAAGCAACTGGTCGTTCTCCAGCTCGGTTTGCAGCTGGATTGGCATCACTTGTAGCTCGCGCCACAATAGAATCACAGCTTTAGACATTTCTAGCATGCAACTTTATGGTACCGTTCCTCCACACGTTGGAAACCTCTCATTTCTTGTTTCCCTTGACATCAGTAACAACAATTTCCACGGAGAGTTGCCAGAAGAGTTGTCTCATTTGCAGAGGTTGAAATTGATTATTGTCGAAAGCAATAACTTTACTGGTGTCATTCCATCATTCTTAGGTCTGTTACCAAACCTTCGCATCTTGCGCCTTTCGAGACACCAATTTTATGGGAAAATTCCACCTAAAACTTACTGGCTCTATACCACCATCAATCTTTAACATTACAACAATGCGAATCATTACTCTTTTCAGNTTGTTCAAACACGTACAATTGCAACCCTAGGATATATTGCTCCAGGTATCAGAACTTTTTACTTGCATCTTTAAAATAACCTAAATAGTGCTTAGCATATTCCTTGATCATTTTTTACCATGCATGATTGTAGAGTATGGACAAGATGGTATAGTATCCACGAGCTGCGATGTTTATAGTTTTGGCATCCTGATGATGGAGACGTTTACAAGAATGAGACCAAGTGATGATATATTTACCGGAGAATTGAGCATAAGAAGTTGGGTTAGCGATTCTTTTCCAGGTGCAATTCATAAGGTGGTGGATGCTAATTTGGTACATCCAGGGGATGAACAAAGCGATGCAAAGATGCAGTGTCTGCTATCTATCATGGAATTAGCTTTGAGTTGCACTGTGATGATACCTGATGCAAGAATTAGTATGGAAGAGGCTCTTTCAACACTTACAAAGATTAGGCTCTACTTTGTCAGTAGTTGCTGCTAGGTGGAATCAGCGATCGACTCTCGATTGCTGCTTCATTACCTATATATTATGGTTGTGTTAAGCTTTCAATTATGCGCTAGGACTTAAGTTCATCATAGCAGTGTATGTAATTTTGTAAGTAATGATCTGGTATGCAAGGCGATTTTTGATGGTACTGATATATTGTCTCTTTTCGTCTTCTTGAGCCGAGAGTCTATCGGAAACAACCTCTCTACTCCCTCGGGGTAGGGATAAGGTCTGCGTGCACACAACCCTCCCCAAACCTCATTTGTGGGATGATCTGTTATGCAAGGCTTTTAGACTCTGGAACCACAGCTGAAGTTAAGCCATTCCAAAAGTGAAATGCGACTGCTAGTATGCAAGGCTTTTAACACATTTGTCCATTGGCCAAATATATACAGCCGATAGTCAAACAGAAAAAAAAAAATATAAAATATGTATACTATACATTTGTCTGTTATTTTTGTTGGCGGTTATATTGTGTAAAAATCTCATTTTAAGTATATCTTGTTGCTTTCCCACTCTCTTGCTGGTGCTGAAAAGTATCTGCTAAAGGATATTAGACATTAAGATAAATAAAAAGAAATATAAGCAAATGATGATGTTTGATTACAAAAAGATATTAGACATAATCAAGGTTTCTTTTTCTTTAAAAAAATAAAATAAAATTTAGCCTACAATTCGTTTGGGAATTTAAGATTAATATTAAGGCTAAACTACATGAATTAATATTTTACTTATTCAATCTTTGACTCATAATATGGGAAAAAATATCGAAATTCAAATCAATGGTCCAATTACATGTTAGTATTTTACTTATTTAATCTTTGACTCATAATATGGAGAAAAATATCGAAATTCAAATCAGTGGTCCAATTACAAGTTAATATTTTACTTATTCAATCTTTGACTCATAATATGAGGAAAAAATCAAAATTCAAATCAATGGTCCAATTACAAGTTAATATTTTACTTATTCAATCTTTGACTCATAATATGAGGAAAAAATCAAAATTCAAATCAATGGTCCAATTACAAGTTAATATTTTACTTATTCAATCTTTGAATCATAATATGAGAAAAAATATCGAAATTCAAATCAATGGTCCAATTACAAGTTAATATTTTACTTATTCAATCTTTGACTCATAATATGGGAAAAAAAATATCGAAATTCAAATTAATGGTCCAATTACAAGTTAAGTTGTTAAGCAGAGGTTGATAACTGCATAAAAAATAATGTTTCTTAATCATAGTTAAGTGATATCTATTTTAACTTTTAACTTTTAAGATTTAATTGTTTGATTTGACGTAGACCCCAAATATAAGTAAATATTCACTTCAGAGCTTAGGATTTCTTTATATATACATATTCTACGGCTTTTTGCTTGGACAATAAAACAATGTTTTTAGTTCGTTTTGTCTCTTACAGACCCATTATCCACAGATTAATCTTTCAATCTCCACTATATTTTCCACATTCATGTCCATTTTCATCATTTCAAATACAAAATTTTGATGAAGTCAACCTTATACACTACAAAGATTGGTTAAGCCCAAATGAGGTCATCAAAATTTTCCAAAATCTCAAAGACCCAAATTCAGCTCTAAATTTACTCAATCAAATCTCAAAACGAAAAGATTATAAACCCAATGAAGCCATTTATAGTGTAGTTGTCAAAAACCTAGCAATGACTAGGAATTTTGATGCAATTGACACCCTTATGGAAAAGATCAAATTTGAAAGGAAGTGTAGACTTTCTGATGATTTTTTCTATGATGTTATTAAGATTTATGGGCATTTGGCTGGTAGAATTAATAGAGCAATTGAGACCCTTTTTGATATGCCTAATTATAAGTGCTGGCCAAGTGTGAGAACTTTCAATTTTGTTTTGAATTTGTTAGTGAATACTAAACAATTTGATGTTGTTCATAAGGTGTATATTCGTGCTTCCGAATTGGGTGTGGAGATTGATGCCTGTTGTTTGAATATTATCGTTAAGGGGTTGTGTCATTGCGGGGAGCTCGATGCTGCATATAAGGTGTCCGATGAATTTCCTAAGCAGAATTGTCAACCCAATGTGAGGACTTTTTCGACTATTATGCATGCTTTATGTGAGCGCGGTCGCGTTGATGAGGCTTTGGGCTTGTTAGAGAGGATGGAAAAGGAGAATGTTGAACCGGATGCTATAGTGTTTAACACGTTGATTTCGGGGCTTAGGAAGCGACGTAGAGTTGACGAGGGGATTGAGGTGTTCAAGAAAGTAATGCTGAAAGGTTGTGATCCGAATCCAGGGACATATCAGGAGGTGTTGTATGCTATGCTTGATGCTAAGAGGTATTTAGAGGCTAAAGATTTTATGGATGTCATGATTGATAAGAGGGTGAATCCAAGTTTTGAGTCTTATAAGCTGTTGATACATGGCCTTTGTAATGGGAAGCTTCTTGGTGATTTAGACAGGGTGTTGAGGCAGATGGTGAGACACGGATTTGTGCCGAGGATGGGCCTGTGGAGGGAGATTCTTGGTTGCTTGTTTCCTGATGGAGATTGTTGTACTACCTGTTCTTATGAAAAATTTCTTGCAAATTAATCGACTAGACTTAGAAACGTAATGGAGTTCCTAAATACATTCTTTTTAGTATGTTAAAGTTGCAGGGAAATGATTGAAAGCATAGGTTCTATATAATTCATAGTTAGACTAGCTCATAGCAGCTATGACTCCCATCTTTGTCAATACATAACTCTAGCTCATAATTCAGTTACATTTCTGCTAGGGTTACTTTCTCTTCTTCGGGCTCCCCTGTTCATGTCCTCGGGAACATAACATCTTCCCGACCTAGTCACCCCATGAGCAGCCTCGCCTTCCGTCATCTTGCCTTTTCCTTTTGACAGTTTTTTATACAAGGATTATTTTCAGGGATTATTTTGCGAACAAGGAGGACGAATAAAGATGAAGAAAATGCTCAAAAGAACGCAAAAATTGAAGAATTTGGACTCAAGGAACAAAGAAGAGCAAAAATGAGGCCTGCAGAAGAAAATGCGGACCGCAGAAATATTTGTGGACGGAATATTTTTAGTGCCTGTTGTATGGTTACATGGAGCTTTGCTTCACCTGGGGTGCATGGCAATGCGAGGTTTGAGAGTGTAAGAACCAAATATTCCGAATTCCAACTACAGCAACTGCAACTTGAAGTTTCATAGAGTTGGAGAAAACCTGACATTTGCTTCTTTCCTTTGACAGCAGCTCCTTTTCAACCATACAAGGTTTTAGGAGATCGCGAAAGTTCCCCCCCTTTTCAACCATACAATAATTTGAGGACTTTTTGTAAGGTATGATTTCTTCCTTTGCGAAGTTAGTTAGATATTTATATTTCAAATACACTATTTAATAAGTAATATTTATATTATTCTTAAAGAAAATTATACTCATTGATAGGGGTACACACGCAATGCGCCCTACGACTAGTATATACATTATTATTATTTTTGGTAAAAACAGTGAAGTATTATCATAAACAAACCAAATATTTACACCTAGAGATCACTTTAGAGAATTTAACCACCTTCTAAGAAGGACTAGTACATATCTATACTATATTAAAAGCACGAAGGCCCTTAGCGAAATGTCGTTCGCCTTTTTTACCCTTTAAAAATAGGTTTCACATTAGATAAAATAGTCATTTAACTTAAGTTTTTTTTCCTAATATTTAGAACTTTAAAATCAACTAAAATTTTGCTTACTTAATTGTTCCTTATTTGACTATTGCACTTTAAAAACAAATTAATTAAAATTTTACCTTATATGAACTCCTTTTACTTAATTAATACCCCTTTATCAATTTCTTTAATCACGAAATACATGTTGACAACTATGTAAGTTCTCATTAATAAGTTCTTCCTTATTTGAATTATTTAAAATAACAAAAACAGATATAGAAAACGCAACCAAATTCCACAGAATTTTGTAGCATGAAATACTTAGGCAAACTGTAAATATAAAGCCTTTTGCTTTTTGGAAGAAAGTTCTAATACTTAGGATTTAAAATCTTAAAATTTTACCTTCTATGCTAATAATTTAGTTAAATATTAATTGTATTATAATTTTAATATTATAATTAAAAGTTATCTAAATGATAAAAGACAACATATCTTAACAACATCATTCGTGAACTAAGTGAACTAACATTCAATCAATACTCAAGTACCATATCACTAAAATATTATCAACGAATAACTTTTAATTAGTAAACAGTAAATTTTTTTAACACAAAAAAATCTTAAAATGCGTATGGAAATAAATCTTAAACACTATTGTAATTTTCTATATATATACACACAAAATGTATATGAAAGTTAATAGATTTTTATACTTTTTGCGAATAATATTTCATTATGATACACCTCATGTTGAATAAAATAATAATATAATAAATATTAATATTCTACCTGCATTTTTATGACAATCATTTTTTTTCTAAATGTAAATTAATTAATTCGGTTAAATACTACCCTTAAATTCGTAATACGATAACTAAACCTAACAATATGGAGTCTCATGTTGTTTTTCGTATTTTTTAATTTGAGTTCCAATAGTAATAAGATGAAATTTATATTACTAAATTAGGTACCTGAGCAAATAGACTTTATTTTTTAAGGTCAAGATGAACATATTGTTGCATGATATTTGAGTTTAAATCAACATATTATTTTACTCTATCTGAGTTACTAAAGCAAATATATAAATATATCAAATTTATGGTATGGCATTAGAATACTTTTGTGTGACATACTCTTTGCCTTTATTATATTGTTTAAATAAGATCAATATCCATCATTTTTTAGACCTTGTGCTTTCCGTAAAATTTTATTTTATAGCTCATAATATTTACGTGATTTTAAATACNTATATATATATATATATAACCTTCTTTCTTGGGACGGAAGTTATATGAGAAGCATTTTAGAGAATTTAACCACCTTCTAGGAAGTATATACTAGTCTTAGTGTACGCGTTTTGCGCGTGTATCCCGTGTCATGAGTATTTATTTTTAGAAAATCACATAAATGAGTATTAAGAAAAGTGTCTTGAATTATAAAAAAGATTAAATGAAATAATAAAATTTTCGAAAAATAATAAATATTAATTCTATTTAGCTAATTCTATAAAGAAATAGACATTATGCTACATAAGTCCTCATATGCCTTATAGTAATTATGATACATGAATTTTATTTTTAGTTTAGAAGTCCAAACAGAGTAGGTATAATGTATTAATTTGTATTAACAATGCTTACAACAACATTTCATTTTGTCTATAACTCTTAAACTTTTTTTAGGAAACAACTTTAAAAGGTAAGTCTAAATATAGTTTTCAAATACCTTTTTCAGCTTAACTTTAATTGTCAAACTAAGAATATACTTTAGTTTTACCTATTACTCCATTCACTGTAAAATAATTTTAGTATTATATATGTATATTGTTTTAAAAAAATAGTACATGATTGAAGGGGTAAGACTTAAGAGAAAATGTCAACGTTAAAATAATATGGACATCCATAAATAGTTGTTTGAATTATAATATTCTTAGTTTCGTTGATAAATTCACATTAAAAATAATTTGATAAAGAAGTAAGAATTGTTCTTTTCTTATATGAAATTAAAAATAAACTTGGAACTTTTTAAGAAGAAATTAAATTGTGTTCAAAGTAAAAGCATAACATTTTTACAATTCAAAATATAGATAAAAAGGGTATAAAACAATTCCTAATTTCGTTTGGTAATCAACTAAAGTTTCCCATAACAAAAGTTAGAATTTCGTTTACAAATAGAATATTTTTGTTTAAAAATATTTGAGTTTTCTCTAAGTTTGATAAAAGACGACGGATGATCCCAGCAAGCGAAGGAAATTTTGATCATAGAAGTACTCAGATACCTTATTGTGAATTATGCGTACTTATATGGAAATATCTTATAAAAATTATTGTTATTTTATGATATATATATAACCACTAACATAAAAATAATTTTATTAAGATTTGTTATTGTCACGACCCAATTTTCCCTCCGTTTGGTATCGTGATGGCACCTAGTCTTAGGGACTAGGTAAGCCTAACACTTATTAAAACAACAACATTATTTAAATAACATCTATCAATTTAAATAGAAATCTCTTACAATTCCCAAAAACGGCAGTACAAGTCATAAGCTTTACAGAGTGTTTGCTAGAAAACCTCTAAATACAACTGTCCAGAAATAGGAATAAACAGTGCAAAACGAAAACTTAAAGGTGACTCCAAGGCCTGCGAACGCAACAACAGGTTTACCTCGAGTCTCCACAGCAACAGTCCACACAGCTAGCTAACGAACAAGTACTTGGATTTGCATAAAAATGTGCAGAAGTGTAGAGTGAGCACACCACAGCGGTGCCCAGTAAGTATCAAGACTAACCTCGGTGGAGTAGTGACGAGGAACAGTCAAGACACCCTCTGGTCTAATAAACTGAACAGGTATAAGTATATGAACAACAGAAATATGATGTCTACATAAAGACTATGCAATATGGCTCACAATACAGTAATGACAACCAAGAAGGAAACAACAAGTATCAACGTAATATCATGAAAATGACACAGACAAAGTGAATGGAGCACAACCTAAATCCGGAATCACAAATACAGCAAGGACAAGTAATAACTCAGCGACTACAACTGCTTTTACATCAGGTTTTAGTCAAACAACTTCACGAGGTACCGAACCTCGGACAAATCACAACTCACGGGTCTCAATACCTGAACCCTAACACTTGGCATCATGTGCCCTCATAACACCTCATAACCGCACTGACGGCTCACGTGCCAATAGAGCCATTCTCACATAGAGTAAAGTAAACAAGGGTGAGCATCTATGCTCCACAATATCAAGAACACCTCTTATTCGATAAGAGTGCTTAACTACGTGTATGCTTGTGCAAATGTCCTACCATAGTCCATGTCAGCAAATAAACATAAGGAAAAAGAACGGACAGCACGTAGAATATTTTATCACAACTTTCACAAGATAAGGCTCACACAGGTACGTATACCACTACACAAATATCAACAACA